GCTGCAAAACTAAGTCTAGAAATTCTAGCTAGACTTAGAAATACTGCAGTTGGAAGTCTTAAGGAATTAATACTCCCAACCAAGTACTTATAGAATTGGTCACAACAACCTTATATCTAACTTATAAGTATAAAACAGAAATTAACATCTATATCATCTGTAATTTTTTAACTACTAATGCAGAGGATTCCAGAAATGTTTGTGAAAAGGTTGGGAGACGAACTTTCTACTGTTGCTTCCTAATAGCCCCGTTTGGCAGGGTTTTAGTAGATCGCGTAGCAGAAAACATATATTCGAGATAAATAACATAAGATTAAAATCACACCACACAAAGAGACACGATATTTACATGGTTCGGCATAACCTACCTATATTCACGGATGAAAGGAATTCATTATAGTTTCATGAACACGATATACAAGAGTACACAATACCATAAACCGGATACAATCAACAGGGTGGAAATAATCCTAGTTTCTAACCACGCTCAACCCAGTACCTAGAGTGGAAACAATCACATCTAAGACATTCTACCTGTGGTGTTTAATAACTCTTACAAAAAACACCATGTGTTCTCACATTCTTTTATAAATTTGAATTGATTTTCATCTCTATATTTATAAGTATTGTATGAGATATTCTTTTCCTAATAGGATTCATATTCCAATACCTAATAAGACTCCTAAATTATATTCCTATTTACAATTGTATAATTTATTAAATAGTTTTTTTCCTAAGGATAAACAATTTCACATGGGAACAGATAGGAAAGGGAGCCACAATATCTCAACAATGGGGTTGGTAAGAGATGGAAGGAAGATTTGGTTCCAGGATGGTTGTTGGAAATCTGAATCTGCTCTGTTACCATGTTGAAAATTAGAGAAGTAAAAAAACATTAAAATAAAGAATAGCACAATAACAACAACACAAAGACAAACAATATTTTACGTGGTTCAGCATAACTTGCATACATTCACAGATAAGAGGGTTTTCACTATAATAATATGAATACAATATAAGTGTTTCATCACACCATCAACCTAGTTTACTTAGGTAGACATTCTATTCCTATGGTGTTTAATACCCCAGTAGTATTTTTCCGATACCCTGTGGTACCCTTACATCAAAACCTCTTATATCCTCACATTCTCTCTTTCTTTACTTCCCTCTCTCATAATCTTGAATTGGTTTTAATTCTCCTATTTATAGGTAAAATATGATATTCTTATTCTGCTTGGATTCATATTTCTATTTCGAACAGATCACCTCTAATTTAAATCATTATCCTATTTTAACTTAGATAGAGTTCTAAACCAATTCTTCTTTCCTAATACATCTCACAATAGAAAAGGAAAATAGTTATTCTCATTTACAAATTCCTAAACTAGAAATTTGCCTAAAACTTAAATTCTTTTTTTTCCTTGTTTGTCTTTTCTTCTTGGTTGCATTTTCTTTTTTGATTGCCTTTTCTTCATCAATTACCAAAAGTGTTCACACTCTAACAATGGTTGGCAGGCCTTCATAGAATACATTAAATCCATGCTGGATACTTCTTGATCTTTACATATGAAAAGAGTTCGACCTTTCAGGTTCTTATTTTTGATATGACAGCCTGTGAAATTTACTGTCCGTATAATAGTGAAGAATCACAAGCAGAACTCAGTACACCAGGATGAAATTGAAGGTAGACCACAAGGCAATTTGGAGAAAATTTAAGCCAGAAGACAAGTAGTGTCAAATGGTAGAAAAAAATGAATCAAAAGATGAGGAAGTGTGATTTTTTTGCTTTACTTGGGGGAAATGAGGATCCGTTTTAGTAGAAATCAGAAATTCTTTCAAAAGAAGAAAGAGAGCACTCGACATCGCCAGATTGCTAAAGCCTGAAAATCCTTCTTTCATGGTTATCATTGAAAATCCTTCTTTCATGGTTATCATAAGATCCTGAAAATCCTTCTTTCATGGTTATCATAAGATCGCGTTACACACAAAAGAATATCGTATGATGGGGTGTTAAATATAATCTGCTTGGTCGTTTGATATTCCCCTCAAAAGTTGCTACTGTTTCTGAGTGAACTTTGGTCTTCCAATGTTGATAATGCTACTCCGATTACCGTGCAGTAACTTTTAAATGGGATTGAATTCCAATTAATAAAGACTTTTTTTCATCCAAATAATGGTTTAATGATATTTTTTTACCAATAGATTTCTAAAATATTATTTTACTATCCAAATTTATATTCTATTTCTGATTCTGGCATCTTTGTGATCTCACACCACTACCATTCTCTTTTTCGATCATCACTCACCAAAACTCCTCAAACTTTATTCCCGTCGACCCCATAAATCATCGACAATCAAGTGATTAGGATTTGCATAACCAACCCTCCCAAGTTAAATTCTGATTAATCTAAACTATCAAAAGACTCATCAGCCTCCCCTCTTCAAGAGCCTTAACAGTCTGGATCAAGTTTGCTCTTTGTTTGTTACCGAAATATAAATTTGGATAGTAAAATGATATTTTAAAAGTATATGGGTGGAAAAGTGTTATTAAGCCATAATTTGGGTGGGGAAAAAAAATGGATAACTCTTATTTGAACCAACCACCTTGGGCTACTTATCACATTTGTAATTTCTCTTGGAACATTGAAAAGTTAGTGCATGGAATGGGAAGTGGCATTAATTATCAAATTTTGGAAGATCAAAATTCACTCAAAATAAGTTACAACGTTGATTGAGGGGACTATCAACCGACCTAGCTGTTGAAAAGCTTCTCCAGCATATATAAAGTCACAACAGATTCACCCCTGGTAACTTCACAAAATGGCAAGGGATTGCAGAAGGAAAGTACAACCCTGTAAATCAAAGTCTTTGGCGGAGACATCACCACATTTCTTCAAGGTTATCCTTCCCTCTACACTTGAAGAGAAGAAACTGGTAATTATAATTAGTTTTATGAAGAAATCTTGGTGGTTCTGTATGCCTTTGTTTCACAACCAACCTCTTTTAATTTCATCGATATTAGGCCACATCATGGTAACCTTTTCTTTGTGACTGCAGGGGATTCCAGAAAGGTTTGCCAAAATGTTTGGGGATGAACTTTCTTCTGTGGCGATGCTCACCATTCCTGATGGACATGTTTGGCCAGTGGGATTGACAAGAGAAGGGAGTAAATTTTGGTTCCAGGATGGTTGGAATGATTTTGTACAGAATAATTCAATCTGTGCTGGATACTTCTTGGTTTTCAAATATGCAAAGAAACCAATTTTCCAGGTTTTAATTTTTGACATGACAGCTTGTGAGATTCACTATCCATATAATGCACCTGCCCAGATCTCAGCCCTCCAGGATGGAATACAAAATAAGCCAGAAAGCAAGAAGAGCAAAATAGAAGACATGCCACAGAAAGGTGATGAGTTTTTGCATTTATTTGAAGAAAGTGGAATCTACATTACTGGAAAACATAAACTTCTTTCAAAAGAAGAGAAAGAAAAAGCCATCAACATTGCTAGATTCTTTAAACCAAAACATCCCGCATTTATGGTTTTCTTGCGAGCTCCTAAAATTATTCATCCGGTGAGCTTCTGATCTTGAAGTTTCTTCAATAGCCTTTGAAACATTCTTGCTTAGTAATTCAAAAACTGTTATTTTTTGGCTTGATTTGCAGACTGTGCCTGCTAAATTTGTCAACAAGTACTATAGAGAAAATGCTAAGTTCATCAAATTACAGTCTTCTGATGGAAGAGAGTGGCTTCTCAACAACACAGGGATATATCGTGGACAACTTCGTTTAGGAAATGGCTGGGCTAGGTTTTCAAATGAGATGAATTTGAAGGCAGGAGATATCTGTGTGTTTGAGCTTATGAGGGAGAAGGACTTTGTTCTGAAAGCTTCAATTTTTAAGATTTGAAATTGTGATGTGTATCATTTTCTGAAAAGAATAACTAAAAATGGGGATGATAGAGTTCTTGGAAAATAATTAAAAAGTTTGTAATATTTTTATCATTTTATGTACTCTAGTGGCTGAGATATCAGTTTTATCTTCCCAAAGTAGGATTTTTGCTCTCTCGATTACAGAGAAACTAGTAGAGGCAATTGATCCCAATAAGACCTTGTTGAATGGGAGGATTACCCTCTCTTATAAACCAGTAGACTTAAGCGTATTTAGTTAGTGTGGGACTCCAACACATTCCTTTACGGTCAAGCCCATATGTTAGATCATGCTGCTCATATGTTGAGGTGGGTCTAACTTCTAACCTAATAAGGTCTTGTTGAATAAAAGGATTATCCCCTCTTATAAACCAATAGGTTTGAGCGTGCCTAATCTACGTGGGATTCCAACAACAGTGTCAGTCTGTCAAAACAGTAACCAGGTTGTATTGTTTTATGTCTAGCAACTTTTTAAATGGCTCTTCTTAGCAGGAGAGCTGACCTAGCATGCAAACTGAAGGGCAGAGACACCCTCACATTTCTTCAAAGTGATTCTCCCTTCCACCCTTCAAGACAAGAAGCTGGTAAATTATCTCAACTTTTATTCTTTCTTTGCTCTGCAGTTTGGTTAGAAAGAGAAAAAGGTAGAATCTTCAGTCTTACTAACACTTTTGGGGAATTTATGGTCTTGGAAGTTTCTTAGCAGACAAACTGAACATATTAGCACTTTTGTTTTGGTGTTGCATGCAAGAACCCACAAACAAATGATGCTGCATTTATCTTGAAATGCTTAGGACAATGCCCTGTTGTTCTGTCCTGTACCTCAAATCCCAGTTTTTTTGTTTTCTTTAGTTTTTGGGATTAGATAGTAAATGATTTTGCATGTTCCATTATAATATCTAGCTAGAGTGCTAAACTTTTCAATGTGTGTATCGTTTCCCTGTGAATCAGTGTAAATTTCTAGTTGGTGATTAATTGCATGAGCTTGTGAAACTATGAAAAAATATACCTAATGTGTTTAGACGCAAGTCTTCTGGTTACTGCCTAAAATGTATCCAACTTTACTTGAATAAATGCCGAAGATTCCAGTGAATTTCTTGAGGAAATTTGGGAATGAACTTTCTGATGTTGTTACACTGAAAGTTCTGAATGGTCGTGTTTGGTGAGTAAGGTTGATAAGAGATGAGAGCAGGACTTTTTTACATGATGATTGGCATAACTTTGTTCAATATCATTCAGTCTCTTCTGGATACTTTCTCGGTTTTCAAATATGACAAGATTTCAATTTTTTGTGTTCTAATGTCTGTTTGATATGTCTGCTTGTGAGATTGACTATCCATTTAATGGTTAAGAACCAACCTTTGACTGAAGGAAATCAGTACTTCAGGATGATGAAATTGATACTGAGGACTCTGTTGAGGTAAGGGACTTCATTCCTCCAAATCCCCCTTTTAGCTCTTAGAGGAACAAAGTTTTTAATGAATGTCCAAGGAATTGCTCGTCTAGAAAAATGTCCACTCCACCAACGGAGAATCAGGCTAAGTCCCCTTTTGGATCAGCTTTGGGAAACAATAGGAGTCAGAAATGTGCTACTACCCTTAAAAAAAAAAAAAAAAAAAAAAATTGCTGGAAACTTTTCCCCTTTTTTTTCCGTGAATGGTTTATTGTTTCTGGTTCCAACTGTAGTTCATTGCTTGTAAAAGGCTAGGCTAGCATTATTCTTAGTTTTTTAGTGTCCCTTGGGGTAGATAAAAGATGGAAAATGGATCTTCTTTCATGATGGCTGGCATGGCATGACTTAGTTGAATATCATTCAATTGGGGTCGATACTTATCGGTTTTCAAATACAGAAAAGTTTCAAATTTTCCAGTTGTTATATAAGTTTTCTGCTTGTAAGATTAGCTCTCCATATGATATTGAAGTACCAGAAAACTGGGAAAAGGCCAAGAACTTGGTTTACCATGATGAGATTGAACTTTTCAATGAATCTGTTGTGATAGGGGGTTTCACTACCCCAAAACTCCCTTGTTTCCTTTTTGAAAAACTAGAGTTTTTGATGAATCTCTGAGTATAGGGTTTTCCAGCCAAATGTATACTCACACATTATCACAGAATCTGGATAAGTCCTTTTAAGAAGGCTCAGAATGTGATTGGAAGATGGTTTCTGAATCTCAGTGTACTTCGGTGCTAGAAAAAGGTTTGTTTATGCAGAATGGTTTCAAAAGAGCTAGAAAAACCTTTCAGGCATAATAATCTCTCAAGTGATGTATAGCTTTTTTCTTTTTTTCTTTTTTTCTTTTTTTAAACCAGACATAGACATTGTGAAATCCTAAAAGCAATAAAAATGCACCTTAATTCTACAAACAGAACAGCAAAACATCAGAGACAACGTGAAGATCCACACAGTAGAAGTCAATATGCAGTAAACCACATTTCAGCAAAATTCTGAGGTGAGCCCTGGATAGATTTTGTCCCATCAAAGCTCTTTAAGCAGCTTTCTTTAATCTGCACAAAGGAAACCTAAAGTCTAAGTCTATACCTCTTTTTTTTTTTTTTTTTTCTTTTAATAGGTATATATTTTTTATAGATTAATTAGTATATAAACCGAGATATATATATAGTGTTTTTATATAGAATAAAGAGTAGCGTAATCACAGTTGGAAAACCCTAGTTCTCCCAACCGTTGCATGTTATAAACTCTAAACCTAAACGTATATATTTGAAGTGTGGCAATAATTTTCAACTCTGTTAAGTAACTGAACGATGCCTTGTACTGGAAGGAAAGCAAATCCCATTACACCAAATTCTTTGGGGGAGCCACCGTTACACTTTTTCAAGGTTATCCTTCCCAATACCCTGGCAGAGAAGAAGCTGGTAATTCACAGAAACTCAATTTTCTTATTCTTTGCTCCCCCTAGGTTATTTTTTCTGCTGATTAGTTGTCATATAAATATGCTCATCTCCGTTTGTCTATATTATATGGTTTTTCTTTTAGAAACTAAGTTGTAAATTTAGGCCAAGAAGTTTCCATCTCCATTAGGGTGGAATTCAGCATGTGGGTGTGAAGAGTTCTGCTTCACAGTCAACCTCTTTTAATTTCATCATTATTAAGCTTCTTGTAATTAAATTCACTTTGTTTCCCTTGTTTATAGTATTTAATAACATCTATTACCAAAATCTGATTTATGTTACATTGGTTTGGTCATGTGTTTTAATTGCAGAATCACATTATTGGTTGTATGATTGTTACAGGGGTTTGTCTTCTTGTTTTGTCATGAAAGCACATAGTTGATAAATTTTCACTCAATTTTTATATCTATCATCTAACATCTTCTGTATTACTGCACGGAATTCCTGAAAACCTTGTCAATAGGTTTGCAGATGAACTTTCTGCAGTTGCAAAGCTCAGTATTCCTAATGGTCATGTTTGGCAAGTGACAATTGATGGGAAAAATATTTGGTTTCAGGACGGTTGGCACGACTTTGTTCAATCTTATTCAGTCAGTACTGGATACTTTTTGGTTTTCAAATATGCAAAGAATTCAACTTTTCAGGTTCTTATTTTTTATAAGACTGCTTGCGAGATTCAATATCCATATAATGCTGAAGAAGCAGTAAATGATGTGGAGAACTCAAAATTTAGGCCACCAAGCAAGAAGTTTAAAATAGAAGAAATGGGAATCTACATTGCTGGAAAAAATGGACTTCTTTCAATAAAACAAAGAAAGAGAGCAATTGATATCGCCAGATTGTTCAAGCCAAGGAACCCCTTCGTTCATGTTTATCTTCCGAGAGCATGGTGTAAGCGAATATATGGTAAGCTTTTAAATAAAATTGTGAGTTAACCACTTTTCCCACCCAAATAATGGTTTAATGACATTTTCCAATCTATAGACTTTTGAAATACAATATTACTACCCAAATTTATATTTTGGCGACGAACAGAGAGCAAACTTGGTCCAGACTATTAGGGCTTTTAAAAATGGGAGACCGATGAGTCTTTTGGTGGTGGAAGATTGAATTTTAGTGGTTGGGATTGATCGAAATTTGACTTAGGAGAGGTGACTATGCAAACTCTAATCGCTTGATTGGCGGGGTCGACCGGAGTAGAGTTTGAAGAGTTTTAGTGAGTGATGATCGATGAAGAAAATGGTGGTGGTGTAGGATCGCAACGATCTCGGAATCGGAAACGAAATATAAATTTGGATAGTAAAGTGATATTTTAGAAGTCTGTAGGTGAGAAAGTGTCATTAAGCTATTATTTGGGTGAGAAAAAGTTATTTACTCATAAAAATGTGGTTGTGAATCCTCTCATATAGCCTTTGCTTATCTTCTTAAATGCAATTCCTTTTTGCTTGTGCAGTATGCATGTGCCGATCAAATTTGTTAACAAGTACATAAGTAGCAAAGCCAGATTTATCACATTACAAATTTCTAATGAAAAAGAGTGGCTTGTCCGAATCAAGAAGTTCAATACCGGAGGTTTTCGTATAACAAAAGGATGGGCTAGGTTTCTGAAAGACAATGATTTGAAGGGAGGAGATATCTGTATCTTTGAGCTGATGATAAGAAAGAAAGACTACCTTACTCTGAAAGTTTTAGTATATCATGCAGCTATGAAGTTAACATGATTAAAATGTTGTGAGTTGATAAGTTGCGTTAGCTATTGCTTTCTCTTTCCAGTTTTTGCTACCAATATGATTTGTGTAAAGAGTAAACAACTTTTTCCCACCTAAGGTTTGCCTTAATGACACTTTTCCACCCAAAAAGTTTCAAAATACCACTTTCTCACCCAATGTTTATATTCTATTAATACCCAAAATACATTTCACTTTCTCAGCCGATGTTCGGCGAGTTACCAGGAGTTAGGGTAAGAGGGTTTTTGTAGAGTGGAGATCAATGGATCAAATGGTGGTGACCGATTGAATATTCACCACTGGAATCAGCCAGAAAACAGCTGAGAACGGAAAACTCAAGCTTTGTGATGGCCGGAAATAAGCGAGAAATCAAGTGCTGAAGCGAGAGGTGTTTTGTTGAGAGGAGATCGGAGGCTCAAATGGTGGTGACAAAGAGAATTTTTGCCCCAGAATCGGCTGAAATCGGTTTTGTTTAGTAACAAAATATTAACTTTGGGTGAGAAAGTGATATTTTGAAACTTTTTGGGTGGAAAAGTATCATTGAGCAAAACTCTTGTGTAAAACACTTCAATGCTCAAATTCATTCATAATATTCTAGGATATTGCAGATACCAGACATAGGGCCCCCGCGTTGCGCGGGTATGTTTATTCAATGTTTTTGAAATAGATTGTAAACAAATTTATTCTAACAAAATAAACTAATTAGATTAAGACATATTAATTGTTAAATTATACAAATTTTATATATAAACAAAGTTGCGTTAAGATAAAATTAATAATTGTACCTGTATAATTATTAATATCAATTATAGGTAGATGTCATTAAATCATTCATCCAACTTGAGAAGATCCCCTAAATATTATATGGTCTAATTATATTTTCAGGATCATCACCTTGTACAATTGATATTATTTTTGCAAATATGTCTTTGATACTCGATGTCAGTATTTTGTAGTGAATCATGTATGATATTTAAAATCACCTGAATATTATCAAGATCAACTATTTATACTTAAAATTTATACTAACTTTCCGCAATTTTTGTAATTTATATTCATTTTCAAGTTGCGTTGCGCGGGTATGTTTATTATTATTTTTTTACTTATTATTGTTTTTTTTTTTTTTTTTTTGTCTTTTAAATATATATTTTCTATATTAAAGTTCATTTTATATTGAATTGATAATTAAAAAAATCAATAAATAAAATATCCACAAATTGAACTCAAAGCCTATATCATCATGGTTCTTCTCAAATATATCACCATTTAAAATCTGCAACCAAAATTTAAAACTTTGTCAAGAAAAGCAAAAAAATTTGCAGTATAACCTACTGGGTATTATTGATAAGTTTATAAATCAATCAAAGAAAGAGAAACCTTGTTGAAAAATATGAACTTTTAAGCAAGAGACTTGCAGAGCCAAAGGAAAAAACTGATTTTGATTGTTGAGAAGAGAAAATGAATTATTTTTATTATTATTATTTTAGAAATTAAAAAAAAAAAATTAAGAATGTTGAGAAGAGAACTCACATAGAAAGCAACAACAACTCCAACAGTATAATCTGAAGGCAACTTAATTGAAGTATTGAAGAAGTCATGAAGATAAAGGTCATGTGACACATATCTATTTGCTGCAATTAGAATTGACCATCACCTGTAACAAAAAAAAATTTAATGAAAGCATCATAAAGAAAGATGATAATTGTAAAACCCACAAAACCCACAAATCAAACAAAAAAATCAATCCAAAAATCAACAAAAAGAGATCGAACAAATACAATTAAAACTACATATCAATATTTGTTTTCCTTTGTCATCGCTAAAATTGAATTGTTTTTATGTGTATGATGATAAAACAAATGGTTCGGCAACAGGACTATAACTATCCTAACTCATCATGTAATATATCAAATTAAAGCCCTATCTTTCTAGTTTCCAAAGATTCAAACTGCTCATCAATTGGATTTTTATTGAGTAAGTTATGACTAATTTACTACTAACTGTTCAATGCAAATCAAGAAATAGGAGAAACCGAAATGTATGTGATAATAAAAGGAATGGCTTGATAGTGGGACTACAGTTATCCAAATTAAGCGTGTAATATATCAAATTAAATCCCTATTTTTCTAGTTTCTAAAGATTCAAACCTCTCATTAATTGGATTTTTATTGAGAAAGTTATTGTCAATTTACTATTGACTGTTCAGCGGAAACTGAAATATGTGTGATGATAAAAGGAATTGTTTGATAGTGGGGCTATAGTTATCCAAATTAAGTTTATAATATATCAATTTAAAGCCCTGTCTGTCTAGTTTCTAAAGATTCAAACCTCTCATCAATTTGAGTTTTATTGAGCAAGTTATGGTCAATTTACTATTGACTGTTCAGTGGAAACCGAAATGTGTGTGATGATAAAAGTAATTGTTCGATAGTGGGGCTACAGTTATTCAAATTAAGTGTATAATATATCAAATTAAAGCCCTGTCTATCTAGTTTCTAAAGATTCAAACCTCTCATCAATTGGAGTTTTATTGAGCAAGTTATGGTCAATTTACTATTAATTGTTTAGTGGAAACCTAAATGTGTGTAATGATAAAAAGAATGGTTCGACAGTGAGGCTATAAAATGAATGGTTTACTAAAGCTACATGGTTCAGCATCAAACATCAGTTGATATTTGTTAAATAAATGAAATTAGTTATATTCAGCAACAACCTCTTTTCATGATATATGTATGCAACATAAAAATATATCAACAAAAAAAGATAGAACAATTACAATTAAAACAACATATCAATATTTGTTTTCCTTTAAGGATAATAATAATAGTTTGGAATATTATAAATGATTTACTAAAGCTACATGGTTCGACAACAAACATCAGTTGATATTTGTGATACAAATAAAATTTATTATATTCAGCAACAACCTGTTTTCGATATATGTATGTAACATAAAAAAAATATCTACAAAAAAAGATAGAACAAATATAACTAAAACTGCATATCAATATTTGTTTTCCTTTGTAATCACTAAAATTGAATTGGTTTTATGTATGTGATAATAAAATGAATGAGTCGGCTGCAAGACTATATGTATTCAAATTCATCGTATAATATATCCAATTAAAGCTCTATCTTTCTAGTTTCCAAAAATTCAAACCGCTTATCAATTGGATATTTATTGAGTTAGTTATGACCGATTTACTACTAATTGTTAAGTGGAAATCGAGAAACAAGGGAAGCCGAAATGTGTGTCATGATAAAAGGAATGGTTCGGAAGTAGGGCTGAATTTATCCAAATTAAGTATATAATATATCAAATTAAAGAGCTATTGGTCTAGTTTCTAAATATTCAAACCTCTCATCAATTGGAATTTTATTAAGTAAGTTATGGTCAATTTACTACTGACTGTTCAATGGAAACTGAAAGGTATGATGATAAAAGGAATGGTTCGACAGTGAGGCTACAATTATCCAAATTAAGCATATAATATACCAAATTAAATCCATGTATGTCTAGTTTCTAAAGATTTAAACTTCTTATCAATTGGAGTTTTATTGAGCAAGTTATGGTCAATTTACTACTGACTGTTCAATGGAAACTAAAATGTGTGTGATGATAAAAGGAATGGTTCGGCAGTGGGGTTACAATAATCCAAATTAAGTGTATAATAAATCAAATTAAATCCCTATCTGTCTAGTTTTCAAAGATTTAAACCGCTCATCAATTGGATTTTTATTGAGCAAGTTATGGCTAATTTACTACTGACTGTTTAGTGAAAATTAAGAAACAGGGGAAACCGAAATGCATGCGGGGATAAAAGGAATGGTTTGGCAGTTGGGCTACAGTTATCAAAATTAGGAGTATAATATATCAATTTAAATCCCTGTCTATCTAGTTTCTAAATATGCAAACCTCTCATCAATTAGATTTTTATTGAGCAAGTTATGATTAATTTACTAAAGATTGTTCAGTGGAAGCCGAAATGTGTGTGATGATGAAAGGAATGGTTTGACAGTGGGGCTACAATTATCCAAATTAAGCATATAATATATAAAATTAAAGCCCCGTCTGTCTAGTTTTGAAAAATTCAATCGTCCCATCAATTGGATTTTTATTGAGCAAGTTATGGTCAATTTACTACTAATTGTTCAATGGAAACCGAAATGTGTATAATGATAAAATGAATGGTTTACTTGACCCAAATTTAAGGGATTGTCATATTAGCACTGATAAGAAATATTTCAAATAACACCTATTAATTGGAAAATAGAATCAGTCAAAATTAATTAATTTAACATATATACTCGCACATTAGTAGGACATAAATAATTAATCATGCATATAACAAATTAAAATACACGAATGTTTTTACAGAAAACATATTTAATACAAATGAACTGTTTCTACTAATATAGATATGACACATACAGTTCGGTTGACAATAGGATCATCTTCGATTTGATCTTAGTAAAGTACATGAACATTTCCTTGAAAACAAACATAACAAATTTAATCGATCTTTATGTTAAGATTGTTAAGAAACAATTATTCATTCGTATAACAACTGTTACTTGAAAACAAAATCAACAAAAGTTAATTAATCTTCATATTAAAATTGTTAAGGAATACACTTACCGTTCGGCAGGATTAATTCAATTAATCATTCAAATAGATTGACCGAACAAAAACAATCATTCAACCAAATAATAACCGTTAAAATAGTTAGAATATATACTTATACTTCAAAAAAAAGAATCAAAATAACAACTCATTCGACAATGTCAATAGAACATCATTCCTTTGTTCCATGCCAATTCATGAATATTTGACCTGTTAACAACAACAAAAATATAAATAAATAAAAAATCATCCAGTATATCTAGTTTCTAAATATACAAACCTCTCATCAATTTGATTTTTATTGAACAAGTTATGATCAATTTACTACTGATTGTTTAATGGAAGCCAAAATATGTGTGATGATGAAAGG